TTGCTTAGAAAGAAGTTTGAAGCAAATTGCATCAATTTCTATATCTTCTGCTTCCAAATACTCATTAAAATTGGACGGTGAAGAAGCTGCAGAATAATTGGTGTATATATGTAGTATAATTAAAGAACATTTATCTTATTGTCATTGAAATAAATGATTATCGTACTTCATAGCTTAACTAATGGCTTCATTGAGTATTTGAGGAACTGATATAGATAATAATAAGTCCTTGATATTGATTGTTAATTTCCTATGAAATTGGCTCATCAATGCATCTTCTCTCTAATTTATATCACATACTAATTGTCAAAAATCTGAGGCATATGTTGATGCAGAACACATTCTTTTTTGAAGGCTTCAAATTTTAGTTGTTAAAAAATAAACCTTATCATGTTCACCAAATACTTCCGCAAATGCTTTCAAAAATGCTTCAAAATTATGAAATATACAAGAATTCTTTTCAAATAATAGAACAAAATAAGATAAAACTTGACTTGAAAGCAAGATTCTAACCAAACCAATATGAGATGCTTCAGTAGAATATCATTGAGGTTGAAGCAAGGTGATTAATCATACTTGGTTTACAAAGCCACAAAAATTTGAGCAGGTATCATTGAACTTTTTTTGAAGGCTGATCCTTGATTTTTTTGTTGTTATTGTTATTAGATCATTACCTTAAGTGGATTTACCTCCCATTTTTGTTGAAGCAGGCATAGTCATCTCAAAATTTGAAACCTCTATTGCCATTTGATGTGATGATTGAGGCACTTGAGCTTGTTGACCATTATTTATGGTCATATATAGTTCTTTATTTTACTTCAAAAAAGTCTCTGTCCTGATTTTCAATGCTTCAAGAGCATTAATAATAGAATCTAATTTGATTTCTTTAAAGTCAATCATATTGACTTTTTTACCTTTTTTTATAAAAAATTAGAGAAATATATGTACTCAAAGGAAAAAAAAAACTTGATTTAAGTTATAAAAAAAAAAAAACCAAAAGAATATTAAGAAAAGAACAATAATAATTTAGGAGAGGATAATCCGCAACCTCTAAAATGCTATAGTACTTCCAAGAAGAGGGATAATCTACTCTTTATCAAAAAAGACCAAGCTTCTAATATTATTTTATGGTAGTCTCGATAAATTATTAGAAACTATATATAAGACAAGGATTCAAGATCAAGAAATAGAATTACATTGATATTAAAACAATAATTGGATACAAAACAAGAAGGTCTTGATTAGACTACAAGAAGTGAGTTGTTGAGACTAACGATTCTCTCAACCTCAACTTCTATATATATTAGGTCCTAAAAAACTTCTTCAGAAGTTTTTATGAGGCTTAGAAACAAAGCAAGTCTAAGATCCTTCTTTGGCAACTTCTTAAATCATTAAAAGCCTCATAGAACCTTCTAAGATCTCCTATAACCTTTTAGAACTTTCTTAGAATCTACTAAAATCTTTTGGAATCTTCTTATAGCCTATTGGAACCTTCTAGAATCTTCTAAGATCTATAAGAATCTTCTTAGAACCTTCTAAAACTTTCTAATACATTCTTAACTCTTCTTCAATTGTATATTTGTGACATATAATATTAAAAATAATTCTTTTAAATATTATGATACTTCCAATTTTGAGATCAAAAACAACCTACTCTATTTTAAAGAACAATTATACATTCTAGAAGGTGGAGTACAATTACATATTCTTCAAGCTCGTCATGACTTTTGAGCAATTGGATATTTTAGATACAATAAGACTTTAGAGCTAACATAGAAAGATTTTTGGTAGCTTCAAATATAAAAATCAATCAAAGAATTTATACAATCATGTGATATTTTTTTTAAATTAAAAATTCTTTTTTATTATTTTTATAAACTTCTTTAACTATTACTTATTTCAAAACAACTATGGTGTTCCATTTCTATGGATTTTATCATGGATCTTCTAATCTTAGGTTCTTGAGATTCTATATTTGTAATAGTAGATCATTTTACCAAGATTATATGATTTGTATCATATACAAAATTTATCACAAGTAAAGAAATAACTAAGTTTTTTTTTGATAACATCTATTGCTATCATAGATTATCCAAGGATATTATATTAGATAGGGGATTTAATTTATATTTTAGAAAATCTTTTTCAAGATTCAAAAATAGATATAAAGCTTTCTTTAGCTTTTCGTACTCAGACTGATCAATAAACAAAATAGGTGAATTAAGTTTTGGAGCAGTATTTGAGGTATACTATCAATTATCATCAAAATGATTGGATAACTCTTTTTCAATTTGTAGAGTTTGCGTACAATAATTTATTACAGTCTACTATTCAAAAAACACTTTTTTTTGTTGATTATGGTTATTGTCTACAACTTGATACTTTTGACTTTTCAAAAGTTAATAATCTTACGGTAGAAGATTTGACAAATCGTTTGTTAGAATTACATACAAAAATAAATGTGTAATTAAAGGAAGTTTAAGAGCAGCAAAAGATCAATATAAATGCCTATTGTAATGGATAACTATAATTCAACGTAAGTGTTAAGGTATAGTTACTATATTATAATATCAAGTTTATTCATCTTTATAACAAGTTGGACTATTGTAGACTTGGATCTTTTCTTATTTGTAAATAAGTCAATCATATTGCTTATTGATTACATCTACCGAGGTCTATGAAGATCCATCTTATATTTTACATATCTCTTCTTTAGACATATAAGATAGTGAATATCTTAAGAAGAAGACAAATGTCAATTCTTTCTATAGAAATAGATAATAATCAAGAATTCGAGGTGGAAGAAATCTTAGATTTAAAGTGGCATCTAAATAGGTTAGAATATCTTATTCATTAGCATGAATATAATATTGATAAATACATATGAAAGCCAGCAAAGAATCTTACAAATACAATAAAGAAAATTGAAGCTTTTATTGATAACATCCATGAAAACCAAGATAAAGAATGATAAATCTTCACTAAAAAAGAAATAAGATTCAAAGAAGATAACATTCTATCTTCTATCCTTATTTATAGCTTTTGTATATTTGTGATGCTAAATAGATAGAGAATTAACAACCAATATATTTAACTTAAGAGCTTTCATTTACTAACTTATCAAAGGAGATATTGCAATTGTTACAGCCTTTAAGACAATGTAATTGAGATAAAGATCTTTAAGAATGACATATTCTACCTCAAATAGATGGTAAAGTATGACATGTTTGGTATCACGACCTTGGAATACACTCTTGATGTTTGATAATTTTATTAGAGTTAGAAACAACTCCTATTAGTATTCTAAATGTTTAATTTGAAAGAAATTACAAAGTTATTAACAACGACCAAATAATAGAGTAGTCTTTCTACCCTGATATGAAACATTATTGATTGTTGAGAGGGCTTATCAACCATCTTCAAAGAGAACAAAGATCAAAATATGTGGCAAATAAAATTTGCCACATCTTCGATTTTGTCAACATATGAAGACTGCTCTTTATATAACTTGTGCTTAAAAGAAAGAATAATGTTATAAACATACATATTTATTCTAATATTTACTTATATGATTAAATAGAAATAAATAGAAATAGATTTATTTCATGATATTTTTTAGAAAAACTTTTTAGAAGCTTCATAGATGCTGCTTTGACTTTACATAAGTTTATAGTTGATTAATAAGTTAGAAACTTGATCGATAAGTTATCTATGTATTGATAGCTTGTAAAATAAGCTAACTATGTGGTGTACCTATAAAAAACTTGTCTTATAAGTTAAGATATGTGTCTTATAAAGTCAACTTATTTTGGAGGTCCTATAAGACATTGCTACATAATTCCTAGTTAAGAGTATATATGGAGGCAAGAGTGAAGCCTTCTTTACTCTTGTCAATGTCTTTCTAGTCTGTAGTCTTGTTTCAAGACTTTCTAATCTTCTTGTCTTTAGCAATAGCCATTTTAGTTTAATACCATATCATTTTTGAGTAACTTTCTAGTTCTTTTGAGTGATACAAGAATGTATTAAAGATTTCTTTTTTCAAGATTTATGTTCTTGACACCTTCTACTTAATTCTACTTATTTAGGTAATTATATATAATTGTAATAATATGATATATATTGAAAAAATAAAAAAATTGGATATTTTTTCTTAGCTTTGTGTGGTCATTCATACAAGTAATCAACAATAAAAAAAAATTAGAGGAGAAAGTCAATTTGTATTTAAAAATAACAAATAATGCATATATTTTATTCTATTAAATTCAAATAAATTATTAGTTTTTATTATTAAAAATTATAGTTATTTTCATATATGTACCTATATGCTATTGTTTATACTTTGATATAAAACCAACATCAAAACACTTATGAAGTTCAATAGTGGTTTTATCTTTACACACTTGTTACTTTGTGAATTTAATAAATTTATGATTCATTTTAATCTTTATCAAAATGTACTGATTTTTTTTTTTTTTGTCACATCCACTCCTTGAAAACTCATAAATATATTCTTTTTAATAACTTTTGATGATACTTACTAAAATGACTTTTGAAATTACAATTTTTTTTTTATATATATATATATATATATATATTTATTTATTTGAAAAAGTCCTATTGAAAAGTCGATGCACATGATTGGTAAGGGGAGTGGCGTAGAGGGTAATGAATGTTAGCTGCATAACTCTTCTGGGGCCATGCCCAACATCTGATGCTTCAGAAGAGGAATAAAAGGTTTTCATGAGAGTAGGAGCAGAGAAGGAATTTGTCGAGGTTGAGGTTGAGGTCGAGGTAGAGAACTAGTACCCGACCAAACGTAGGGTGGCGAGGGACACAACTGGCATTAGAGGGTGGGCCGGGCAGGGGCAGGGGCAGGGGCAGGCAAATTTGTGAGGAGTGCATGGTTAGAATAGCGATACTCATCGTGCGGAGAATTACTGTCTTTCGCAGATATCTTTACGCCATCGCAGGGCCGACTTCGCTATCATTCGCCGGGCCTTCGTACACCGTCCCCGCATTCCGCTCGCAATTTGGTCCGCAACGAGCCCTGACATCCATTGTTCCCTCCTCAACCGGCCTAGATAAGGCACACCATCTGCGGTGTTGCAGCTGCCGGATTGTGGTCTATGGTCTACGAGCACTTCTCGGATTGGAAGACGAGGGCGAGGGCGAGGGCGAGGAGAAAAAACAGGGGCGAGAAGCGTTAGGTGAGAGGAATTAGTGTTCAGAGGGAGGTGCCCCTCGCTGGACATGAATTGGAGCGGTTGTGGTGAGCATTTGGTGATGGCGATGCATGTATGAAGCGAGCAGGGAAAGAAGTCGGATGTGGCGGTGGTGGTAGGGATGGACTTACATGCGACCCTCAACTTTTCGGGAAATAGTTCCGCCAGTGCCAGCACCGCTACAGGCGGAACCTCTACCAGCAGTGTCACGTCATCTATTCTGGCAATCTCCAGCGATGCTGCGATTTTGCAAGTAGGTTCTCGTTACATTTGAGGCCGTTGTTCATGTTCAGTGAGACGATCACCTTGGCGGCGATCGATTTGGGAAAGAGAATTGACGGCGTGAGAGGAGTGAGATACTTGTAATGGCATAGATCGCAATATATATGTTTTTATGTTTCTTGCCGCTTGTGGTTTGAAGATTCCGCTATTTTGTTTTTTTGTTGTTTATTTATTAATTAATTAATTAATTTATAAAACAGGCTACCCCTGTGCCACAATTCTTTAGCTGCGCCTGGTGTGCAATTTAGCTAAGTTTGCCAGGATGCTTAAGTAGTGAATGGTCCGTATGAGTTGCTCTAGTTGTGTGAGGGGGAGGCTCCTAAATCCAAGCAGTATCTTTGGGCGTGATGAATCGCATGTTGCACACATGTTCGACCTTCACTGTACTTGAGTTAGAGTAGCTACGAAGAGCTTGGTCAGGTTGATCAATCTGGAGACTAAATGTCACTCAAATTCGATCTTGTCAAGTTACAATTAGGGCAGAATTGAGCTAGTAACCAATTTTTAGTAACCAATGTAGAGGTCGATGGTCTGGGCGCGGAGCTGTTGAATGTGCAGCTACGATTTTTACTGAATTGGTTGTGGCGATCGTGTAACGCAACAATGAGCAATGTTTGAAATTAGTAAGATGACGTTGAACTTCTGTCTTCGTTGATCATTGTTATAGCAATTCTTCTGCGAGAGGTTTTGTAGTTGGTTTGGCTAGCTGTAATCCTGTTACCAATCAAGTGTTATATTAAATTTGCTTCACTTGGAACTATTTCAAACCAACCACGTGATCAATTTTTAAGAATTAATCTGTAGGTCACGCACTTGTGCTCGTCAATCTGGTTGTGGAGACGTAGGTTTTAGAGGGATGAAAGTTCTGAAAGTATTGTGAGGTTGGCCATTAGCTCGTGCGGAAAGTCCTATTTCGCTAATGCGGGATGAGTTTCTGTTCGCAGAGTTCATTTGGTCGTGACGTTCTATATCTTCTCATCGTACTGAATGCATTAAGTGAAGAACGTTGGATTTTGTTTTAGACCTAAGAATTTGGTGTTGGGTGCTGTCCGGTTATGTGGTTGCAGAGGTTGATAAAGTGTGGAGTGCCTTCAGAATACCTGGGAAGGGGTAAGGAAGGAGTCGCAGAATATGTGAAAGAACACAGGCGTCAGATTCCAGTGGTCATCGCTGCGTTATTGCCTGGACCAGATGAAATTCAGGCGGCTTCTTTATCAGGAGCAGATGAAGTTCAAGGACCGGGAACACGCAAGGAGTTTCTAAACCAATGCAGGGATGCGCTCAAATGGGTGCAGTGGGCTATGTTTCAGGGGGAACCACAGGCAGTCTTAGCTGCTGCGGGACAGGGAACTGGAAGCACAAGAGGTGTATGTGGAGCAGTATGGGGTAGCAACGATATCGCTTACAGATGTAGGACCTGTGAACACGACCCTACCTGCGCTATTTGTGTGCCATGCTTTCAAAATGGCAATCATGCTACACATGACTACTCCATGATTCGTACTGGTGGTGGTTGCTGTGACTGCGGAGATGTTACTGCTTGGAAACTATCAGGATTCTGCTCCAGGCATTGTGGTCCTGGACAGGTGCCACTGCTGCCGTCTTCTCTTGTAGAATTTGCTGCACCTGTACTCGAAGCTCTCTTATTTCAGTGGGTACATACGTTAAAGGCTGCAGAACTTGTGGCAGAAAACAGGGCAAGAAAGTGGGCTTCTCAGCAGAAGGATGAAAAGGTTGCATGCCAATTATCAGTGGTGTATATTGAAATGTTGCTGGAATTCTGCAGTTTTGGTGAACCCATGCTTGCCTTCACTGCAGAACTCGTGGGTAACAGAAGCTTAGGTCTTTTGGATACATTGATGAGCACAGAATGCTTTTTACCAAAGAGATGTGTGAACTCCCTGCACGAACTGTTATACAAACTTCTGGGAGACACCAACTTCAAACACACTTTTGCACAGACTTTCATTCTACACTATCCATTCTATTTACGAGAGACCATCAAAGAGGACGCTGCAGCAGCTGGAACTTCTTCGAGGAGCAAACACCGAGATCCTGCCGTAGTGAATAGCTTCTCTGTACAGATTTTCACGGTTCCGACCCTCACACCCAAGTTGGTGATGGAAGCTGGTCTTCTGGACATGCTACTTGAGACACTAAAGGAGTTCTTCTGTGCTTGTGTTGGGGACTATGGGCGCATATCGGTATGTTGCCCACTTTTGTGGCATTTTTAATCGGCTACCATGTTACCCAAGAACTCTTCCGCAGTAACTTGTAGCTGAAAATGTCAAGTGTCTATATTTTCCAGTGAGTCTTTCTGTTCGTTGCAAAGAGTTGTTTCTGTTTTGTTTCCTTTCTGTGCAGGGGATCGTATTGACTTTTGTAGTGTATGTGCAAACTCGGTAGGTTTCTTTGGTATGCATGTGTGCTTGGTTATTGATATGATATTTATTGAGCTACTCTAGTTTTTGGTGTGCAGGTAAGTAAAGGCCCTGTCGTGAAACGGCTTTATTTTCGTATTATAGAGGATATAAGATACGTCATGACCCATTTGGAGGTATCACAATATGTTACACAGAAGCGGCCTGAGCTTGCAAGAGCGTGGTTGCACTTGCTTGCGTTCATTCAAGGCATGTTTCCACATAGGCGAATCACGAGTATTCACGTCGAAGAAGAGACTGAAGACTGGGGCTCAGCCTACTCATTGGAGTTTCAAATGGCGTGCATTCATCCCCTATTTGTTGCAGGAGCTGCAGCATCCAGCTACTCCGATGCACGCTCGAAGGATGATTTGATGTGCGATTCTCAGAGTTACCCCCAGGTAGCTACGTACAATCCGAAGGGAGGCATTTCTTCTAACAGGATCGTTAATGGTGTAGGCAGTTTGCAATATTCTAATGTAGGAGCTAGTTATACAGGAACATGGGTTGCGGACGTAGACATGTATGATGCTACACCTACTCTTGATCCCACTGATAGTGTAACGGAACTCATTCTGCAGCAGAGAGGAAAAAAGGAGTCTGGAAAAGCCTTCATTGCAGAAATGCAAGTACCACATTCTTTGCTGTGGCTTATTGCTGAGTGTACTCAAGTACTTGACATCTGGCTTGGTGTAGACGCCTCGAGGGAATCAGTAAAGTCAGGGCAGTTGGCTACTGATGCTAGTCAGGTTGCAGGAATTCGAAGAAGCACTAGATGGCGAGGTAGAGGGGGTAGAGGAATTAGGGATTCTCCTACTCAGACTACTGGTGGTCAAATTCGGGAATGGTTGCGACGCAGCCGACGACTTCCTCTTGAACCACGAGTGTGGCCAGAGGTTGCTCCAGAGCAAGCTGCAATGGGCACCAATTCTGGAATTCAAGTTTCTGATATGGATGTCGAAATACAGGTGGGATGGGCCTACTTTAACTTTAACTTTCTTTCTCTCTGGTTCCTCACAGACAAAGTTCATTCGTCTTGATTAATTTTAAAATTTTGATAATAAACTTTTTGGGTTCTAATAAGAATTATTTTCTTAAATCCTTGAGGTGTTTGTCCCACAGATTCCCCGTGAAGGCTGGGATAATAGAGCTGCAGAGTGGTGGATGGGACCTGAAGCATCAACCTCATCAACTATAGGCCAGCTTGTCGAGGATGACGAATGGCCAACAATAGAGTTCGATGTTAGTAGGCAGGATGTATCTTTTCACATCCCGTTACATCGTATGCTGGCACTCTTACTTCATAAAACACTTGAGTTTTATTCAGCCAAACAGGATACACCTTCTAGCAAAGAAAGAATAATGCCCAATTTTGGCTCTGTTGATGACGGGAGGTTATTCTTGGAACAAGTTCTTCCACCAAAGTTTCGTGTGCCAGGATTCGCTGCCGTTGTGATGGAGCATCCTCTTCGTTTGCAAGTTTTGTGTGCTCAAGTTCAGGTTGGCATGTGGCGACGGAATGGCCATGCAACTAGTGCATTATGTGACCTCTACCATACTGTTCATTGGTAAGTTATATTTTCCATCTTAACTCATACCTGGTATCAGGTGGTTGGGATTATGCAAGTGTGTCAATGAAGTTTATGTGTATGCCACTGTAGCATGCCATTATAATATTAACTGACTCTTTATATTTGCTAATTATTTCATACGGTGATAAACAGTACTAAATAGTGTTCTTCAGACCATTTGGATTGTCTTTGAATATATATATATATAGTGTCAGTTGGTTCATGTTACGAGAAACCACTACTGTTTACAGGTGTGAAGATAGTCTGGAGCTTGACGTGTTCCTACTCCAATGTTGCGCTGTCCTTGCACCTTGTGAAGCCTTTGTGGAGCGTATTGTAGCTCGATTCTCGCTTTCTGACTACTTCACCCTTTCAGTTTATCGTCTCAATGAGTATGACCTACTCCCTTACCTGTGTCTCAAATTTAGCACGAGTCTAATATCTCGAAGCTACATTTGGGAACTGCTGGTTGTTGAATGATAGCCTATTGAGCACGTGTGTCGAATGTGCCCCAAATGCTTTGCTTTTATAGCTAGATTCCAGAACTATTATAATAAGTTTGAGCAAGCATGGGGGTATGGTGTGAACGGTGGCTCACTAGTAATTGTTTGTCTTTAAGCTGTATGTGTTTCAGTACGCAGCATCAACTAGGAGTTGTGCTAGAAATTGTGGAAGCTGTCTTCTACGTTACTCGAGAACTTTAATTCTGTATCAATTGCCAATTTATGCTTTGCCAGATGTGTAGTTGATACATCTTTACAGAGTTCGTGACGTTGATGCGGGGAAAGGAAAAATACGCTCAAATCCCTTGCGTTGAACTCTGATTATTGCTGTCAGTAAAGTGTGGCGAATCCTACTTAACTTGTAGAATGTAGTTTTATAGATCTCGAGGGTTCTTGTTTGTGATAGCCTTCTGCCACAAAGATTGATTATTTGTCCGCTGCATACAGATACCAGGTTACTCTGGCGCAGGAACTACTTATTCTGTTGATCAGGATAGTTTCTGAGCGAGGTTTCTGTGGATTGACCGAGAAACAGTCTTTACGACGGGAGTTAGTACAACGGTTAGCTGTTGGGGATGCTACTCGCAGCTACCTACTGAAAGCTCTACCTCCACGGTTACAAGATAGCAAGCACTTGCAAGAATGTTTAAATGCAGTAGCAACATATCGCAATCCTTCTGGAATGCAGCAGGTGAGGCTGTGTTTAGTTATTTATCATTGATTAAATTTAAGCTCCTAAAATTAAATTAATTCAGGATAATATCCTACAAATCATGTTGCTTTACAGCGGATTATCAGAACTGCGTTGGTATCTGCCTGTTTTTTTAATGTAGTGAAGTCTTACTGTGAATTAACTCATGCGTCGATATTGCCTACGTGGCGGTTGATCTGTGGTTTAATCAGTTCTCATTCTTGGACATACAGGGTAAGTATGTATTGAGGGAAGACTGCTGGCGTGAGTTGGACCTCTATCATCCACGATGGAGTCCCCGGGAGCTTCAATTAGCAGAGGAGCGTTATTTGAGGGCATGCAGAGCACCTGCTGTGTTTCTGCAATTACCTCACTGGTCGCAGCCATTGGCAGCTTTACGGGGTTTGGGACAGTTGATTACTTCTCCTTCGGTTCATGATATGTTGCGTTGTATTTTCTTCCATGCAGTCTACACTGAAGACCCATCCAATTCGCGTGCTCCAGAAGAGCTCCTTCTGCACGCTCTTCATCTACTTGCCCTAGCTCTCGATGTCTGTAAATCTCAAATCAAAGTTGGTGGCGAAAGTAAAGCGGATATCGACTTTTCTCTGCGTGATTTGAACACCTCAAGTAGTAACCATGTTGAAAATCTTCCGCCACTATTGCTTCGCAGCATTGAAAGAGTAGCTGTAGGAAGAGCCGATCTTTCTATTATGCCAGAGCACCAGAGTATGCTATCTTTACTGGTGTTGCTTCTGCGAAAACGCGATCGCGATGGAGCGGGTGAAGCGGGATCTTACGGTTTTGGAGATTTAATAAAGAAACTGTTGAGAAGTTTTGCAGAATTGAACAGGGCGTGCATGTACGAGATAGAATCTCTTGATCCGGAGATCCTTCATCGTGTGTCTGTTAGCGCCACACTCAAGATTGGTAGAGCTGGAGAAATAAATTTCAAAGACGATATCTCCGTGTCTGAGTCCGATAGACGAAGAGCTATCGCACGAGAACGCCAGGCTGCTGCTATGGTAAGATCGGTCTTTCTGCGTTTACTAGTATCCTATTGTCGGTGTGGAAGTTCAGTTCAAATGCATGGGTTTGTTTTATCACTTGAAGATGTACCTGAGTTATGAAAGTTTGATAATTTTATGCTTAGTGTTCATGGTCTGTGTAGCGCAAAAGTCTTTGTTCAAGGATAATAGTCTTCATTAACAAACTCGTGATATGTATACTGTCCTAGGCAAAAATGAAAGCTGCGCAAGATATGTTTGTGATCAATTATAAGACAACAGAGGAGAGCAACTGTTCAGGGAAGGGTGATGAAACAGAAGCAAAACGTCCTAAGGAGTCCGGGGGTGGGAGTGATGAGTCAAGTGAGGATATACAAGTTACTCATTGTGCACTTTGCCGAGATGCAGCGAGTAATAGTCCCTTATGTTTCATGGTCCTTATTCAGGTATTCCGTGCTCTTCACATTTCATTTCTACATACTTATGTTTTACAGAGATTTCCAACTTTCATGTAATTTGGTTTTAGTAAAGTTTTTGTAGCTTGCTTCGAAATTAGAGGTCTACCTCATACACGTCAGCTTGTTCCCTCATTATCTGCCGTACTGTCAACGTGTTCCCATGAGCTCTGCCTTTATGCATGCCATTTTAACATCTTTTCACGGAGTCTAATGCTCAGCTCACGCTAATCATTGTCTGCCTTCCATCTTGACAGAGATCAAAACTGCTCGCAGTTGCTGAAAAACCTACTCCATCCTGGAAGCATAGCATAGTTACACTGGCAGAACATGTAGAGAGAGAATCTGAAGCATCTGATGGAGTAAACACTGCTGCGGGGTTAGGCCCGGATGATACAAGATATTTTCATAGCACAGCAGAGCTTTTGCGATGGATTCAAGATGCTATTGGGGATACTCAAACCCGCACTCGCCTGCTCGATGGTGAGGACTTACTGGAACTTATCCGAAATGGGCCTGGTATCCGTAACCCTCTTCGTGTGACTCCCGAGTTTTTACTGAACTGGGATGTAACTGCGATACCGGCAGACACTGAATTGGAAGAAATCAAATCTGGTAGTGAGATAATTTGCACTGAAAACAGTAATGAAGTTGGAACCAATGAAGCAACAGGTTTGTGGAATCAACTTCTGTATGTGGTCATTATCTTTGTTATTAGTTGAGATGTTATTGTGTCTATGCTCTGAAAACATGATGTTCAATACTGCATTGTATTTTTTTTGGTTTGTGCACTCTCTCAACTCGTTTAAACCGACTTGTAGCATAGCTCATGTCACAAAACTATGATTAAAAATGCCTTGCAGCTGATGTGCAAATACAAACAGTTCAGGAAAGAACTCAGTAGGTGTGGAATGTGTGGGAATGGAACATTTTGAATCCACCCCAATCCTCTTGAGCTGCGAGAGATGAAATCATATTATTGATCAATTACAAGGTTTTGCACGTTACAGGAAGTATGGATGTGAATTGGTGGGAGGACAATTACAGTAAGGCTGATCAAGGGGAGAGTAGCACAAACAGAGACAAGGCCATGGCAACTGTTCTAGCAGAATATGTGGCTACAGCTTTCTGTCGAGGACAGTCTCGACCTCAGGAACGGACTCGTTATGGAAGAAACGAGTTTCCTAGGCATGCAGTTCCAGAAATAGGAAGAGAAGGTGTTACCCGAAGCAGGAGAGGACCTTCTCGGATTTCTTTGGCAATGTCTGAAGCTACACGCTACAAAAGCAATGACACCGTGGGTATCCATATGTCTGCTTGTGGACATGCTATGCATCAAGAGTGTTGTGACCGCTACTTTTCCTCTCTTTTGCAGAGGTACACAATGTTCACTTAAGTTCACAGTATGTGCTAAAAATTTCAAAGGTTATGTCATGCATGTTATTGAAGCAGGTATTTGTGAAAGTCTACTTTGAATAAGGGTACTATAGTGCCTCACATTATATGCCAAAATATTCACCCTGTACAGATCTATGGCAAAATAGTGTAGGCTAAATTATGAACCCTGTTCTGTGTAGTGATTTGTTTTTTCTTCTCTTGTTTTTAGTTTGGTAGTATTTAACCGTTGTTATTTCATTATTTTTACCTACACGTTGCTCTCTTGCAGATCCTACAGCAGAGCTTTGTTTGAAGGAGTTCAGATAGTGGACCTTGACATGGTTCGTGGCTTGTTGACATATTATTGATATTCGTTATTATTCTTCTACTGATATTCATTGTCATAGTTCAGGATTACTGCTTTTGATCTGTTTTTATATCTAGTCTATTTTAATATGCCTATTTCCTTCGTTTCGAACAAATTTACGTAACCTTTCAATTTGGTATTACAGGGGGAGTTTCTCTGCCCAGTTTGTCGTCGACTAGCGAACGCAATTCTGCCAGTTTTGCCTGGTCAAACAGGGTTAAGCAGTTCTTTCAAAGCTCCAAGCGTCGCTCAGCTTTCGCCTAGTGTTTCTTCTAGTTCTGCGATACTACAGGTGGACCATGCATTGCGACTGCTTGTTAAGGCTGAAGAATTGGTTTCCAGGTCGGAATTTCGCAAAGTGGCTGATCCACAGCTTCCTCAGAATGTTAATGTGGTTTTGGAGGATCTTGCAAAACGACTTTATGGATTGTTTTATGCCGAGAAGGGCCTCTTCATATCACCAAGCTCTGTTCAGGGTCATGTACATCAAGGGTTACTTCTTTGGAATGTCTTTAAATACTCCCTCATTTCTGCAGAGTTGGCTGCTCGTAGCCAGAAGTTTTTGGAGGGTACTGGCAATAGTTTGATCGCATTAGTGGAAATGGGTGAGTCGTCACACGGGTCTGTGTTGCCTCTTTTACTTCATGCTGCGAAAGCGACACAAAGTCAGAGTCGACAAGCGGTTTTACTTCGGGCTCGTGGAATGCAACTATCATTGGATACTATTGTTAACGGTGTGTCTAGAGATATGCACTCAAACGGCGTTCCAACTGGTTTGCTTGGTAAGCTAACTATTCCGGATATTTCGAGGTTTTGGCATGGTGACTTAGAAGTTACTAGTTTGAAACTAGGTTTTGATTGCTTTGTTGGCGAGAACCTACTTGAAAAGTAGCCTCGCGTTTTATTCGAACGTGGATACATAGGAAGTCTTTGAATATCTTAGGTTTCAGTTATTGCTGTGAGTAACCTCAATTGGTCGTTTGTTCGCAGGCAATTATTCTTCTCTTTTGCAATATTTAGAAAAGGACAATGATTCTGTAGACGTGCAGCTATGGAAGAGATTGGCTGATCCAATTTTAGTCCATGACGCCTTTTCATCCTTCACATGGCTGCTTTTCTGTCTGCCCCTGCCATTTCCTGCAAATGGTGCACCGTTTTCCGCACTTGTTCATCTCTTCTATTTAGTGACTATCATTCAGGTACTTGTTCTTTAACAGGTGCATGGTTATGTAGTTTTCATATGCTAAGTTTATTGATATCTCTTTCTCCTTTCTAATGACCACTACTTAAATTTGGCTTTACTGATGCTCATAACGCTGTCAGTATTATCGCTGTGTATCATAACACACCCTAACCACTACTTTCACATAAAGTTTTTATGACTTCAAGCTTATTCCTTGCACAGATTGTAGCGCAGCTGGGATCGTTTGCAGCGTCGAGTACTGAATTGACACCATCAGCGCGTTCCTTAATTACAGCAGTACAGAGAGGGCTGACAGGAACGGTTCTTGAGCACTCTTCAGGGGACAGTAATGTTCCTCCAGGGTCTATTCTGGTTTATATTCGGCGCTGTACTTTGCCTTTCCTACGCCGATGCTATCTTTTACAAAACCTGATGTCTGGTAACACACAAGTCCTCCCGGTTGCTACAGCTCATCAATGGGAGCTTTCTCAGAGTCAGAGACAATCAACAGGAGCCGGATCGGTTTCTGGGGACACTAAATATGCAGGGGAACAGGTGCTTCTGGAGATTGAGCAGTTGGATCAGCTGGAAAAGATCTTTTTAATTCCTTCGTTGGGAAAGATTTTTGAGCAGGATACAGTTCAGCAGCTTGTTCAAGTATGGTGCAAGCATGTTAAGTCAGATAGTGAACCTCGAGGAATCCAATATAGTCCACGAGTAACCACAGCATCTCCTTTTAGATTGATGCAATTGCCACATTTGTTTCAGGATCTTATGCAACGGTATGCATCTTTCTATCCAAGAGTGGATGAGTGGAATAAGTTTGTTGCATGGAGTTGTTTGGAGTTATCATAATTTGCTAACATGTTTTTAGCATCTCAGAAGGTTTCCTTCTTGTAATTTACCCTGGGAAACATTGTGATGCTCTTTACATTGGTATGATAAGCTCAGCTCCTACCAGCTTATTAATAGAAGCTCTTTTAGTTGATTTCGTTTGTTCTTAGGTATAGTGATTATCAGGAGTTTTATGTGCAGGTATGTGAAAGAGCGTTGTCCTCTCTGTAAGACAGTTCCTGATAAGCCTGCTATATGCTTATTGTGTGGAGCTCTTTGTTGTGCAGTTAGTTCACGTCTCTGTTGCAGGTGAGTCTTGCTACCTCCTTGTGTATGCTTCGAAGGAACTTTTGAATGGAGTTTAGGATATGTCGCTTAACGAAGATGCTTGTGTATCTCGTTCGTGTTAACCACATTTCGTTGTTATCAGATAGGATGTTTGTTGGAATCGCGAAGGCAATCATGTCCTGTTGGTTCTCCATCAGCCTTTGTTTTTTTATCTTAACAGTAATCGACTTAAATTGGTTTCATTCCTTTCATTTTTAGATTGCTAATGTCTTCAAGGAACTTTTAGGCAGAGATTAATATTTGTCACACCACACATTGCAGAGTATGAATGCTTGTGATAATGCTTCTTTTTCATTACTATTTAAAGTACAGAGCTGATTTTATAGCCATGTTTATTGACAGTGTGAACAGGCAAGGGGAATGTACCAGGCATTCAATTAAATGCGGAGCAGGCATTGGTATTTTTTTGATGCTACGGGTAATCCTTAGTGCCGTATGTTTGTGTGTTTGTGCTACTTAAAATCTCTGAAATAGTCATAATGTTATAGTGTGGCTTGTTGCATGCTGTCAGCCGACAGTTACACTTTATTAATTTTCGGGTTTTAGTTGGAGGGATTGCAGTCAACTTATTGAAATGAACCTCACAAATTTCGACCGCATAAACAAACTAGTTCTTATATACACACAAACAGATGAACACTGGATTTAATACATTGACATTCGTCTATTTTTAATAAGCGTTAATTCATATATGTCAACAATCAAGTGCACTTAATTAGCTGCAATAGCTTATTCCTGAAAGAGACGAATTATTACTGCAGAGGACCAATATTCTATTGCAACGATGTGGACGGCAAGCTATGTGGCCATCACCCTATCTAGATGCTTTTGGAGAAGAGGTGTGTACTGTCCTATTCCATAAGAATACTTAACTGCGTTTGTCAACAGTGATGCCATTCAGTATGGAACGGTCCATTGCTTTCTCTTATGTTTGCCACTATACTTGAGCTTCGTTTCGTTTAAAATGCTTTTTTTGTATATACCTATCAAGTGATTTATATTTTTAAACAATATTCCAGTTGATATTGACTTTCTATTTCGCATGACAGGACCTTGAGTTACGTAGAGGCAAGCCATTGTTTCTTAGCCACGAACGATATGCTGCCCTTACTGATATGGTACATCCTAACTTTACTGCGGTTTGACTGGAACCTCCACATATCTTAGTAGTGGTCAATTGTAATCCCTTCTTCTGTCTGGTTCTACCGTTATAAATAATTTTTTGCTTGACTTTTGAAGGTGGCAGCACATGGGTTGGATTACAGCTCACCAGTTTTGTCGCACACGACACGAGACATCCTGTTGTGAATCACTTGCTTGGATCATTTTGACTGGTGTTTCCTTTTAATATGCATCAAGCAGAGGTAAATTTGATTGTTCCATCATCGTCACTTGTAGTGTACACTCTATTGACATGGCTACTTTAAATATTTTTTGCAGCTGAGGGAACAAAGCCCTAGACAGGACTATCTCTCGATTAGCTTCTAGAGTGTACGGAATAGCTCTTTCCTGTGCATTTTTTGACTTCTGTACTTTGCACTATTGAACTGATGCCTCTGTTTCGTTTGAAATAGAAATAGAGATATAGTTTTTTGGGATCCACTGCTGGGCTGATGAAACCATTGGATCTGTAGTAGCTGGTACCTTCATCTGCAGGATTATGTGATGTCAACCTCTGAACAGGTGAGGATAAAAAAATATCATAAATCTACTACTTTTTATATAGCGCAGTCATTTTTCCTGCTCTTTTACACAGCGAGGGTTTTCACCACTACTTTGAAGCTGTGCAGCTCATCCACATTCATAACTATGCAGCGTCAGAAATTTTAGTTTCAGGGCACAGAAACTTTGTGTTTCTTAAAATTGCTCGGTTATAAACTTCGTAACTACACATCTGATTCTCGCTTGGTTTTGAACTTATTGTGTGAAATCTATGCCCACGGGGACTAACTTGTGAAGTTATGCAGATCTTCATCAGCCTCTAGATGGACTAGATTGACAAGAGGACCTGCAATCAAAGATTCCTGTGCATAAGGTTTCGAGTGTAAATGCTTTAGTTATGTATGAAGGATTGGATTCTTGGAATAGGTGGAGGATTTTTTTAAAGATATTTTGACCACTATACTGATTAGTGAAGGTTGTCAAGCCAGCAGGATGCGGAGACAATCACTTCCCCGAGTTGGCTTAAAAATAAGAAATTGGCCTTCCAAATTAATGGGTAGTTGCTCCCGAGGCAAATCATTCTGGGATATGTACATTTTTATAATACAATTAGTGTTGTAGCTGCTATAACTGAACTACAAATCATTTGATACATACGTGTGAAGGCTCTTGAAATCAATATTGGGGTTAAAGATCAACTCAGAGGAACACCCAAATTCGAAACTAGAAGAAAATTCCTCAATTTCATTAAGATAGTTTCTGAAACCTATTAAGATGGATGATAATACAATAAGAATATAGGATAGAAACGCAATTTTATTAAGATAAAACCTATCAAACTAAGGATTTCAAAACATCCTAAATGAAATTCTGTTGAAATATCGACCAAGACATGACGTAGTGCAACTGTGTAAGGAAAATATTCTGGTAATATTTGCATTTGTGAACAGATTTAAGGTATTTTACTTTTATGAATTTAGCTCATATCCATAGTTTGTTGTTGACCATCCATAAGAAAAAAAGTTTAGAGTAGTTTTTGTTTGGTATGATTTATGCCAATCATTTGATAGAATGTTTTCTCAAGAAAACAATAGCTGATTGAAAAGTAATCATTTGCATGGCTTATGAGACCAAGACCTACAATTCATGTGTGTTTAATTAATTCTTTTTACATAGATTTAATTTTTAATTTTATTTGGCACTCCAATTATTAGATTTTGTAAAAATTAAGAGAATTTTTATATTGTGCCTTACAAAAGACATGTCTTTTTAAAGAATAAGGATTTAACAATATTATATTTTTATTCAAAGCCTCTTGCACTTTAAGTGATTTTTTTGAAAAACAAAGAGTACTAAGGGGTATTTAAGAATCACTTAGAAACCATTATATGGAATTTTCTTTTATTGACAAAAATGTATTATAAATTATTTTAGCTACTAGCCTAGGTTCTTGTTAGAATCTCTTGGGTTTCTTTATTATGTCATTGAAAAGAAAAGAAAAAGATTAAAGGAACAAGAAAGAAATTATTGCATGATATAAAGCTATGAAGTCAAAGGGGGTTTTATAAAAAAATATTGTAGTTAGAAATGTGTAAAAAAATATTGTAGTTAGAAATGTGTAAAAAAATATTCTATAATGTCTTCTATTTTCAAATTTTAAACTTTTGAACTATTTTTTCAATAAAGAACTATTTGAAATTATATAGTGCAAATGAATTTATATAATATTACAAAAGTGCAAAATTTCTTACACATAAGTGCTAATGCATAGGTGCTATAATGAAATGATATACTATGATAATATAAAGAACTACAAATTATACCATAATATATTAAATGATCTAAAAATATTAGTAGCTACCTTCTACAAAATTTAACTCTTACATCATTAAATTTCTTAGTATTCTTTATTTTCTTTGTTGGGTAGTAGAACACTTGTTCCTACTTTTAAACCCAAAAGTACATCTACCACTCTAAGATTGGTCCTTACAATAAAGAAACTTACAGTAGAAGCAGATGTATTATCATTATATAGAATCCAAAGCTTAATGTCCAAAGCTGACAACTAATAGGACTAATATATATTTATTGCTTTATTGGTGATAAATAATCAAATTTCTCTATAATTTTTAATAGCGGCAACAAATTTTTTATTTTATTTAGATTATTCTTATTATCTTAGAATTAGGATAAAGTATCTTACACAAAAAACAATGGATGTCTTATATTACATTATTTAAAAAAATACAATCCAAGACTTAATATTTATTTTCTATTAAGAATCAATCAAAAGCTGCAAAAAAAATATTTAAAAAAAAATATTCAAAAGTGATTTTAATAATATAGGTAATACAAAGAATAATAAAAAGTAATGAAAAAACATAATAATGTAAAAATAATTTTATTGTAAAAATAAGATAAAATAAAACAATTTATTACAGGCTTTTCAAAATATTCCACAATCATCTTAGATCTAATGAAACCTTGAATGGCATTAATGCATAACATGTAAAATTTTAGGAATTCATCTTAAATAAAGATAGTAGTACATAAATATTAAATATTTATTAAAAAATAATATTTTTATAAAAAAATATTTTGAAGATATCTTCTATGTATATGATATGCCTTCGTCTTTTATTTTAAACTTTAATATTTAGAATATTTGTTAATTACATATGTTAGCAATTTTTATAACCATTTATACATGACTTAGAAAATACTTATTATCATATTTAGATGCTAGTAGAGTGAATGATTTTACTAAAATCAACATGATCAAAAACCTGTAATGCTTGTAACAGTACAATATTTTTAAAACACTCAAAAAATCAAATTATAAGATTAAATTATGTAATCGTATAAGTAAAATATTACTTCAAATAAAGTCAAATTTAAAAATAGTTTTATTAAAAATAGAATAAATAAATATCTAATCGTCCTGTTTTTAAAATAATATTAATTTTAATAAAAAATACATGTTTTTAATAAATAATTAATTTCAGTATTATTTAAAATAAAATTAAGAATTTTTATTATTTTTTTAATTTTTTAATGTAAATCTCCAACATAAATATACAAAAATTTATTTCATTTTATTTACAACGATTTTAATAGAAAACATATGTGGTAATGATTTAAAAGTTAGAATTTAAAATTTATAGTTATATATATTTTTGAAATTTCTAGAAATAAATAAATATAAGACACAAAAAAGAGTGCACTTAATTTTTTTCTATAAAAAATCAATATTAATTTAGCACTTGCAAAACTTGAAGTTTCTATATACAACTTAGAATCAATTGAGAAATTATTATAAATTATTTTTTTGATAATAAAAATTAATATATTAAAACTATTATTTTTTAATAAAAAACATTATCAAAATCATATTCATGCCATTAATATAATGAAATTTAAGAATTACCTATTTAAAAATATTTTTAAAAAATAAAGTAAACCAAAATAAAATAAAATATCCAAAAAAAAATCAAAACCAAAATTGAGGCTATTGATATCAAAATTATTAATGTTGTTCAATACTTTGCTATTCAAATTTTAAAACTTAGATTTGTAAAATCATTATCTACAAGTTAGTAATCTTCAATATGTAAAAGAAGATAAATCTCCTTCACACCAAAGATTGTCTTTACAACTATGTCCAGGATATTTGTTAGCCTGAGGTTTTGTTGGTCAATGGAGTGCCATGGAACCGTAACTGCAATATAACAAGGCACCCAAAACATAAATGCTTCCTTTGGTATGACATTTCTTTGCTACATTGCTACACTATTGAGTATCTCAAAGACATTGAAACCACGCTTTTTTTTTTATTCATTCAAGTACAAAGTGTTACAACATTTGGCCTAGTCACAACTTCCAAAAATGCAACAAATGGTCTTGTTGTTTTCACTCACAGCTAAACGTCCAATTTTTAAAGTGAAAGAGAGAGTAAAGTGTTCCTTTATTGGTTCTTATAATGCCTAAAATATTTTTTAATCACTAATTCTATCCTAACTTTGTGATTGTGCTATGACTAGTTGCATTTCTATCCTATCTTCTTATTATATTATCATCCTTCCATGTTGCGGTATTCGCTGAAGATTGTTGTTGTCATCTAAGGTGTTGACAATATTATATGCTACTTTAGTGGAATTTTGAATTACTGTAACAGTAACATAAATATTTTATAAAACATCTCTTTTAACAATCTAATATTTTAAATTCTATATTTTATCAATTTTAGAATTATTATTGTATTATAAAACTTGAGAAATTCTAAAATAACATTTAAAAAATTGTGAAATAAAGATTTTTTTTGTTAAATACACAAGAAAATCTAATCATATTATTACATTTTTTTCCTTTTTTTGCATATTTAGTGGTTTTTAATTATAATTTTGAGTTTATATTAAAGAAATATATGAGTAAAATAGATTCTTCTAAAAATTAATTTTGGCTCAAAAACATACATGGATAAATTGTGCATAAATATGTTTGATTTTTAATTATAAAATATGTTCAGATTCTAAGTTTCTACAACTTTTGTAATCCAAATCACTTTATAACCTATACAATTGTATTGCACGTAAACATAACAAAGTGTATGTTATTATAAATAAGTAGATAAATAAAATTATTTTGTTTTATAAATTCTATTTATGTGCACAGATCTTTTTTTTAATGATGCATGTTAATTACAAGTTAATTACATTAAAAGTCAAATATAAACAAACTTGAGACCAAAAGAAGAAGATCAACTTAAGTTGCATGTAAACAAAATAAAATAATAATAATAATAATAATAAAAAAAAAAAAAAAAATAGTATATTTAATTATATTTTATAAAGCTCAATTTCAAATTTTAAGAGGTACAAATAGATGAGTAGGACATTCTTAAGGGGCATTAAGAGGTGTAAATTAGAATACAAACTTTATAATCAAGTATCTGTTATAAATAGATATTTAAATTTTTAAGTTATTTAAAATTTGAATAAATAAAGTAACTACAAATTTATTTAAAATTTGAAGTCATTTTTAACAAATATATAAATAAACAATAATTCTAGTCTGGGATCTTTTGGTGCAAATTAGTATCCTTTGGTAATTTCAAGTGATTCTAGATCCAAGCCACACAAGGTTAAATACATCAGGTAGTCTAACATACCAATGGATACACCGAAAGTTACAACTCTAGACGAATCTGTGCTCCCGGACTTGGCAAAAGATGTCGAACCCTTCCGAGTGATCTCACATCTCCAGAGAATGAACACCTGGTGATTTGTTACAGACGTGATATGAATATGCTGATTCCTGAGATTGAACAGACAGGCACAGGAAACTTATTTGCAATGTATACATCTTCCAACTTTGAATCCAACAACCTGCACCAAAACGTTTATGCTTTGAATTCCACAATCCATTATATTCGTACCAGATCGTAAATCACACAGTATAATACATGGCCGTTGCCTCAGAAATTCCACCCAAGTTGGGACTACACTCCAACTGGGTCTCGACTCAAGTTTCACATTTACTGTAGCACACTTCCCAGCTTTCAGAAATTCTCAGCGCAAAACAAAATCAATACTCTCTATTACACCTCTGTGGTTGCATGGTTGACCTCTGTAATATACACTCTTTCTGCAAACTAAAACCAGATGCATCATTTCAAACCAAGGTTTAGTAATCAGCCACATTTTTTGATACGTAATCCAAAAATTCCTGTTTCGTAAAAGGTGTTGCAGGGAAACGCTTTCTCTTGGCATGGTCAGTGTTTCAGCAATTGGTCTTCACAATCTTCCGCTTTTGAAGCCATCTCAGGAATCCTTTGTGGTCGGTGATCCTAGACAGCTCCTCCAGAAGCACTTTCCTGCAGATGGAAATCAACACATGATTGAGTGACAATGAATAGCCTGATCCTGACGTGAATTACATGTTTTCCCAACGACTTGCGAATAGCGTTTGAAAACAAGCCACATGCACTCTTGTTAGAAAAACGAGATGGGAAGCCAAAAAATTGGATTGCCTTTCACATCAACAGATCATGTGGACACACAATTGCACCTTCTTCAGTTAGGTCAGTCCGAAGCAGCGTGCATGATTCTGAAATGAAACGAAGAGATTTAAGACCAAACCTTTTGTTTGCCCATATTAAATCATATGAGATGAAGCTGGCAGTCGCGGTGAGACCCACCATTTGAAACGCTCCATCCACTGCACCACATCAATAACAAAGAAATCAATCACTCCCGTGTAAGCCATGGATTAAGACGAACGTAGTCGAGCTAAGATTCTGAAAGATGAGACAGCTCTGGAAGGTCAGAAATGTTTGCTACCTCCAGCAAGAGAACCTAAAGCACCCGCTCCGATGGCAACAGCTGGGATGGCAGCCTGCAGTGCTCGATACTTTGCATTCTCCCTCTCTTCTTCAGCCTGAAATAGGCACAATAAAAAGTCAGTGGCAGTATCCAACTTACTATTTAGAAAGAACATATTTTACGACCGCAGAAACTTATGTACTCATCAACGAAAGATTCCGGTGGTTGGTTCATGAGCCTAAAGCGTTTAAAAAGTTGAATTCTGACCTTCCTCTCCTCTAAAATTGCGAGCTCCTCAGGTGACAACTTAATTTCCACCTTGACTTCTGGAACGAACCCCTGTTCCAAGGAAAGGGCTTCTTCTCCTTCCAGTGACACAACATCGTCGCTCCTCTCTGAGGCTGACCTCTTCATTGTGCCTTCGATGAATTCTCTGTGTCTGTCGTCAGCCCATACCCTGTTCGCCATTTCAGCCAATACTTGTTTACCCTCAGACGAAATAGAACCACCATTTGAAACTGAGTCAGGCGACATAGCCTCAGCCAAAGAATCTCTCGATTCCCCATTGCTTTCTCCATCCCAGCTGCCAAATCCTTCCTTGAATTGTGAAGTTTTTGACCCACTGTAATGAGGCCTGCTAGACGGCTGCTCGATATTGCTTGATCTTTCAACTCTATCGTCCGGGAAAAATGGTGTTACATTTTCATACTTGAAACTGGTCTTTGAATGTGGTGAGCCTGCTGAAGCTCCGCCATGTTCATAGGCAAAGAAAGGAGTGACAGTTTCCAACATAGAATTATTCCGATGTTCATCAACCCGCTCATCTGGGAAGAACGGAGTAACAGCCTCCATGGCAGGTATACTCTCGCGATTGCTGTGCTGCTCGTCGGCAAAGAATGGAGTAATATTTTCCAACAAACCGCGGTCATGACTCTCATTGCTCTGCTCCTTCGGATCAAAAGGGGTAGCATTTGTCGAAGAACTTCTATTTCTCCGTTTATTGCCGTCCTCATCAGGAAAGAAAGGAGCGACGCTCTCCAGTGAAGATCTATTCTGGTGTCTGGATGTTGTTGCTACCCGATCTGAAGGAAAAAACGGGATAACTGACTTGTATTTTGCTTCTGGCCAACTCGAGACAGGATTCGGAGTTGAAGAAGGGACTTGAGAGTTGGTTGGAGGAAAGAAAGGAGTAGCAGCTGCCCAGACTGAGGCCTGAGATTGTTCACTACGGCGCTCCGTATCATGTTTTGGCCCCGCATTCGAAAGGCTCGGGGGCAAAGGCATTGAGGAGTGATTAAGCTTTCTCCTTACCGATCCGGGTTGCAGGTCGAAGGTTGTTACAATTGCCGCTCCAGCTGACAATCCTGCTGTGTTTGCCAACACCTCCGCTGGTAGTTTCATATCTTCCGTCAGAGAATGTGGTGCCTTGAGAGCACGAGAACCTCTGGATTGATCGTCAGTAGCGGGATGTCCAGTAAAAGGTTTAATGGATTCACCGGCAAAGCTGCCACTCGAGAGCTTGCCTTCCAACTCAGACTGGTTCGAGGTGGCACCGGCTCCAGAATTTTGTCTGCTTAAAGAATGAACCAAAACCGCCATAGCAGCCAAAACAATAGCAGAACCTGTATCCATCAGGGGTTATCAATAACTTCACCCTAAACGTAGATAGAAATCCATCTCCATGGTCTTCGCCAACGAAGTCAAATTCGCAATAGAGTAAGCAAGATCATGTACACCACGTAAATTTGTTACCTGCAGCTAGGGGAACTCCGAAAGGCACCCTAAGAAATCCACCAGTGGGAGTATAATATCCAGAGATCTCTGAAGAGGTAGTAGTGGGTTCTGCCACAAGATTTTGAGCGCTCGTGGACCCGGTTCTATCAGCGAGCCTAATCTGCTCTGATATTGTCAGCGGATCAACTTCTACCACTCCATTGTTGGGTAGAGTCCTACTCACCCACTCCGCTGCCTCCATGTCTGTCGAGTCTATCTTGTCTTCCCTACCCTTCTTGACTCGCAGCCGAGATGGCCGCCGCGCAGGCATCCTTGGTACCATGACTAACGAAGCAATTTGACAACATGGCTCCGTACTCGGGAATTTGATATGATCAGTTGAAGCCACTTGCACCGTTGAACTGCTCTCTGTTGAACCGTGCTTGGCACGAGCTGCTCTTCGCAACTGCAGCAACATGTGTGTCAATCGCAAAGTTTACGTTGAAATAAACAGTTTCAATTCCTTCAATATTTGTGTCTCATAAGAAAAGAAATCTCTAAGAGCCAGTTAAAATGACGTAGCTTTGTACAAACATAACAAACATACTTGAATACCATGTCCATGCATTTCTTCGATGCTGACCAGAAATCATAACAGGCAAGATATTTGGAGACCTCCCGTAACTGCTTACCATAGTTATGGCTGCTTGAAGGCGATCAAGAGAATGGAATGCGTAGGAGAAGGAGAAGAAGAAGAGAATAAATCAGTGGGAACTGGAAGAAGCAGCTAGAATGATAAATAGAAGGTGTAGTTTTTTCAGCCTCACAATATTGTGACAACGCGGGATAGAACGGCTGGGAAATAATCATACTCCGAAGTACAATAACTGTCAATTGTGCATAAGGTCGGTTAACAGACTGAAGGATCGACACACGCAAAGCTGTTGTCAGATCCAACCTGAGAATTGTTTACGAAGCGCAAGAGCTGCACGGGTTCAGGAGAGAGCAGTTCTACAGTAGAAAGGAAACCTCCCAGCTCAAGGAAGAAACAGGTGACGGAGAGGGAGTAGTAGAGTGGGGAGATACAGATGTCTGATTGAAAAGGAACATGAAGGAGGGGGAAGAAAAACCTTACCCGGTGCGTGGACAGCCTTTGTTGCCGGATGCTGGCAAGCTGGTGTGGGGGGTGAGGGGGAGCACACCGAGGCAAAGAGAGCGCCATCGCTCCCTCGACCCACGTCAAACTTCTACTTCTCTCCACAGCCCTTCTCTAAATCCTTCAAACAACAACGACGACAAAATAAACAAAACCCCCCGAAATACCTACTCAAAATTCATGTCCTGCTGTACACCACCCACGATCCACTATACAACAAACATACTCTCAAATTTCACGCTGCCGCAATCCCAGATATACCAGCTTTCAGCTCTTTAGTGAGAACTCTACATCTTCACCCCCACGAAGCTGAACTTTTTTTTCCGGTAAACCAACGACAAAGTGAAGGATGGGACTTGCAAACTTGTCGCAATAAATGATGATTCTGGTGTAGCCTGGGCCAGTGGCGGATCGCTAATTGCGCAACCTGGCTGATGAGCATCAGCAACTAGACAAAGTATCTGGGTACCATCTCCGAAAAGCGCGTCGAGCGTGGACAGACGAGCGAGCCAGCATGAGCCAATGGACATCCCTATCCTGCACTTCGTTTGGATAAAGCTGGTCTTTTTAAACACTCTCCGTCGTTCTGTTGACGATTGTCCCCTCCAGCTCCCCCTCCCTCCGCCTGGATACGTCCTTTCTCGTTCGTTGGCCCGTTCGCTTGTTTATTTATCGTTTGTCGTGGTCGTGGTGGGTTATTTTTTCTATTTTTTCAAAACTAGGATGTGGAATTAGCAGGGCAAGTATTCACGTGATTTGGACTCTGGTGTTCATATTTCTTATAGGTGTATTTCCAGTAGGAAGTCTGCAACATTAACCCACAGGACTTACGCTATTAAAACTAGGAATCGAGGTTTGCTACTATTATCAATTTAGAATAGATTTTCTTTTTGCGTGTGATGTTGGTTGAAAAACAATTATGCGCATGTCAACCTTGAACATGGTTAATACAAACTAACGCCCATATTAAAATTGCAAGCAACATAAACTTAGTGCACCAACAATGCGTCACTGAACTACAAAAAAAAAGAATCATCAAAATTAATTTTGAAATATGAGAAACCTTTTTGTTTGTACTTTTGTGAAACAAAAAAGAATTGATATAAAGCCTTCACATGCTAACTTATAAACGGAGCTGAATCAAATTGAATAAACAATTAAACAAAAGCGTTATTTATTTTTATGTAAAAGTGACAAATGCACATCGATCCACATCCAGTTCTTCATTAGGATTAGCCAGCACATGCAAAAGGACGTGAAGAATCGACGCCCACACTGATAGTCAAAGTGAAAACACAGCACTATCTCTTATAATCAAAATATCATAAAACACTAAATATGGATGTCAACTCATTCTTAACGGCTCCTTAAATAAGCGTTAAGGTTTAAAACAAATGATGAAAATGGGGTCATAAGATTACCATATTCTAGGTTGAGTGTAGGACGAGCTAGTCTGCCCAATGCTAATGCCCACAACAAGCTACTTTCTATGAATCAGCATTTCCCGAACTTTATCCATCACCAGTGAACCTTGATCACCACCAACAATCTCCCCTGCCTTCTCCTTGTTTTTCCATAACTACATTTGCAAAGCACATAAATGAATTTATTAATGTGATATCTTGAAACCGTCAAGAAAGTTAACTTCAAGATCTATATCAAACTCGTCGCGAAATTCAACAATTTCCTCCGGGCTTCACCTGCCTCACCTAACTATCTGGGGGGGGATGCAAGGACAGAGTTTTCCACATCAGAATCGTCAGAATGGCAAAATTTTCTTTGCTTAAGGACATATTTTTGCTCACCTGAATCGTTGGCATTTTCTGAAAGCTCTCAACCGAGTTCCCCAAACATCACATAGTATGTCATAATCACACAAAAAAGGCAATCAGTTCAATGTTTCAAGTTGGGCCCAAATTACAGTTGAATAGTTTGCTTCAGTTTTATTGGACAATGTTAAGAGGAGATCTAACCAAAGAGGATCTCTGGATCACATGTGAACTGTAATCAGGAAGAGAGAAAAATGGAGGCTGTAGCAACTCGAGAAAACCCACCGTCACTCCAGCGCGGGTCACCAGTGTTGCTGGCACAATATTGACGTCCACGACATAAAACTTAACGCTGCAAGGGCGCGAAAACACTATTGAGGTCCAATGACAATATCACCAGCCACAAACAGCAACTCTTACTGTTCATGATGGAGGTTACAATCGTACAATGTTCAGACTAGTTGCCCTCCACATTGCTACTTATTCTTGTGATGGTCAATCTGAAATTCTAGTGGAATACGAGACGCGAACCCGCATAACAAACAACAAAACTTGTGTGATATCAGGTTCAAAGATGTATAATAGATCCATGAGGATACTGAAATTTACAGTTTCAACAAAAATGAGTGTGAAAACCGCAATATTATCACAGGAGGATTTCACGTACTCAGGGTGGTATTCAGCGGCAAGTTTTTCCAGCTTTGGCTTCAAATAGACGCATTTTCTGCACCAGGTTGCCATCCTAAAGAAAGAAACTCCACAAACGTACCCCCTCAGTCTTTCTCTTTATCAACCCACACAAATAACGCTGTCCTTTGCGTTCCCGCTTAGAATCGGTGCGCGTAGTGATTGTATATGGAACAAAAGCGCATTCACATTACCAGAACTGCACACCATCAGCATGCACATTACATCACTGAAGTTATGGAGCATGTATGATTCTTTACAACGGCAACGATACATTTTTAACACGCATCAGGGCGTGAAGGCAACGAGTCAATGAGTACAAGCGGATGGGGGAGAAAGAGAGCACCAGTCAATGATGATAGGGTTTCCCGACTCGAGAGCTTCATCGAACTGATCTTCACGTGTGATCGCAGTCATCTCTACCCATGTGGGCTTAGGTATGCTTGGTTCCCCAGCTCGCATACACGCAATTCGACTGTTTAGGTGTCTCGGTTCCCAGCTCACGTCACTCTCGCAGTGACGCGAGCAGCGCCCTCGTAAGGAAATGGTACCATTTTGTAACCCAGTCCGTGTCAACTTCTGACATGATGCCAATACCTTGGGAGTCACAAGAAAGCTAAAATTTGTCGATAAACGAGTTTGAGCACATTGCGACGTCATGTTCCAGGTACTGAGTTCGCTCTTTGATTCTACTTCACCTAGATAGCAACCAGGATTATTTGAGACCGCCTCATGTAGGTCGCTATTCCATCTTCGATCCTCATACTTTATGAAGTTCCTTGCATCCACATGTACAGCTCTGTTTCAAACTTATTCCCAGAGAATGCGCTTAGACATCCTCTCCCAACAACAAAACCCTGCGGATTCTTTTGTTTCCAACATGCATTCACCGGTACAGTTTCACCATATTCCTGGTCACGCACTTGTACACTTTCAATTATCTGTAAATCAAGTCCAACTATCAAGAATTTTCCGTCTCTAAATATCAATGACCGCAAAACATCAGAACCCAACAACTAGAACTAACCCACCCAACACCCATGCATCACAAGAGCATCTCAGCAAAACATCCAGCTACCTTAAAGGCCCAATTTTTCTGACCTACTGACTGAGAATTCCACGATAAAGATCGGATCAGCTCCTCACGGTTCCACCACATTGCATCCTGGAAGCCAAATGCTAGAAACCATCAAAGCTCCTGCTGTGCCTCCACGAAAAGACAAGAAGCAACACGCTCCTGGACCGGAGTCGTCGACGTTATGCTCAAAATAAGCACCTTGGAATGAATTCGCCACACAAATCTCTCACGAAGTGAATTCCACGAACACGGCAGTAAACAGAAAGTCGGAGAGAATAGCGATGACGATTTTAGGTTATAAAAGCAGAGCTGCAAGCAGAGGATACGGCCCATTCCCAGGCCCATGTGGCTGAGGAATGGCTACCAAAGCTGCGGACGGGAAAACTAGGGGATCATACCACCTGGATGGGGTTTAGACCATTCATTTATTAGTTTGTTTAAGTGAAACAGAAAAAAGGATTTACTTCTTTTCTTTGAGTAAAACTTCCATTTAGGCACAGAAAACTCTGTTATAGTGGCTGTTGAATTAATGTTGGTTGGCGTCTATTTTCCATCGAACTTACACTTGGTAAATCTAACATGGAAATCTAAATATTAGATTTACATGCTAAGTGATCGTTTCTTAAGTGCCTTCAACTCCTGAGATAGTAAACTCTCTTGTACTTAATCAATTGTCAAATCTTTGTTGCAATTTTAGTTTGCACAGCATGTATTTCTATAAAATATTTGCATATACTTTTTTTCTTTTCTTTTTTATGAACCTTGAAATAAACCCACATGAGGCAAAAAACAAACAAACAAACAAACAAAAGCCATGGATGGCAAAAGAAGAGAGAAGTAGTAAAATAATAAAATGGTATAAAATTAAAGAGGATATCTATGCAACACATCAATGAAGAAGAAGGAAAAAAAATAGATATTGCAATATATATATATATATATATATATATATAATGTATGGAAATTAAAAAGCAATAAAATAAAATACAGATGAGATAGGACAAGCTAAAAATAGTGGAGAGTGTTGAGAGAAATTTTGAAATCTAAAAAAATAAACAAAGAGAGAATAAGGGCAGTAATGCAATAATTATAAATAAATAAATAAATAAAAATGGTGTGATCTAAACAAGCAAACTAGGATCCAAAAGAGATAAAGGTGCATCCAAACTTCCTATTCATGTAAAATATTAATAATTTTATAACAAATAAATTAGTAAATAATAAAATCCATAAAGACATTGATATCTTCTATTGGCTCTCAATTGAAACTATGTTTATTTCATATTGAACCTCAATTGAATAATTAGATATTATTCTAGTAGTATGTTTTTAATTTTAAATTCCATGGCTTTATAGATGTGTTATTTATATGCACTTTGTAGTGCAATCAAATCCAGGTTGTATAGTTACTTGAATATATTCTAGAGCAGCTCTTAGGTTTAAGGATATTACCTTCTAATTGTCTAGAGTTGTAACATTATAAAGTTAGTACTCTTGTGAATTATTTGATTATTTCTAACTTCAAAAATATAATATTAATTGATACAAAATCCTTGGATATACAACTAAATTGAGGTAGTAAAGGTAATTTGATTTACGTAGAAGTGCTTCTTTTATCTAAAACAAAATCTATAGTATATATTAAAGCTTAGATGTATAATTGACTTTTGGTCAATATTACCATTTTAACTAATTTAATTGTATCTTTTAGATTAAATTTTTTAGCTAAAGAGGTTTCAAAAAATCTCAATTCTACATTCTAATCAAGAAAATAAAACTACTCATATTAACTTTCAAATATTATAAAAATTTTAAAAAATAGGTTGCAATATATAATAAAGCTTGCAGGTACAATCAATTTCGGCCAAAATATCTATTCTAACTAAGTTCTTTTATACATTTTAAATCCAAAAGTAAATTTAATAATTTAAAAAAAATCATTTGTAAAACTTGATCTAATAAATTTGGATATTTCAATTGACTTCTAAGAGCTTTTGGATCAAAAAAGATTACATGCTATATTATAGATATGTTATTTATTTATTATATTTTATTATAGATAAATTATAATAAGTTAGCTTATAAAAGATACATTTTTATAAATAAAAATACAATAAGATTTTAAAGTGTATTATATGACCATCCTATGGACGTTTTAAAAAGATACAAGTGCTCTACTAAACACAAAAATAATCTAAGCCAATATTGTTAACTTCAGTCAATGGATTTAAGTAGAAAAAGATTAAAATATAATTTTAGATATTAGGTTAGAATAATTACAATTTTATTTTGTTAGATCTCAATATTTTTTGTAATATACAAGAAAAGACACAAAAAAGAAATGAGGTTTAGCAAAGTACAATATAACACAAATAAACAATACTTTACTAAGACTAGAAGGAAGCATAATCTCTTTGTATGATAGACTTTTATAAGTATAATTAGGATTTTTTACAAAATATAGAATTTTTTTGTATTACAAGCATATTTTATTCTTTTGATTATATAAAATAATTTTTTTATGAATCTTTAGAAGAAATAAAGGTCAAATTTCTTATTTAGGCAAAAAAATATATAAATGTGTCATAGATTTTTGAAGCTCATAAGAGGATTGAAGGGCCCAAATCTAAGCATAGGAGCATTAGTCATTAGAAAAAATAATTCAACTAAAATGAAGTATCTTTAGATATAAAGTAAAAATATTACATTGTTATTGCATTAGCTGTCATAATTTTTATTGCATTCAAAATTATTAATTATAAGCTTTTATCATTTAAATATTTTTATATAATTATATATTAATCTATTAATCTAAAGCTTTAAAATATCATAATATATATAGTTTCTGACTAATAAGATATCAAAATTTCTAATTTAAAACACGAACAGATTAAAAAATCTTAAGATAAAAATAATATATATAGATATATTAATATATATATAAGATTTATTTTTAAATTAAATTTATATATATTAGTTTATAAAAAATATTATAATCTTTTTAAGGATAATAATTCTTGTTAGACATATTTTTTTAGTTATATAAAAATTTAATAGTATATTTTTTAAGATAAATATTTTTAGTTATTTTTTATAATACATTTAGAGAATTAAAAGATAATTTTATAATATAAATATATCTAAAAAATCTAAAATATTTTACAAAGAAAATATGATTAATCTGGGTTATTTATTTATATTTATATTTATATATTTAATAATATTACTTTGTTAATACGACCTATTCTTCTTCTATTTAGACTTAGTAAAAATATATAATTTTTTTAAAAAAAATCTTTATATCAAAGAAGTCCAAAACATATTAATTAAATTTACTTATGAAGTTTGAATTATGTATTTTTATAAAGGTAGTTAATTTTATCTTTTTCTTATTAATAATGTTACATATCTATGTAAGAAGCTATCTAATTATTTATTAATAATTTTTTCTTTTATGAATATACTTAATTAAAATATTTGGGACACCATCAATTTTAGTTTTTGCTCCCAAAATATTTACAAAGTACCAAGAATATCTTTCAAGATTGTTAAATCAAATGCTTTGTATTTAACTCTCTTCTTATTAATAATTAAGTTATTTTTTACAATATAAAAGGTTTTAACAATCATTGTGGATTATATAGTAGTTTCACAAATAGTAATTTTGAACATTAAATTAAAAAATTACTGGTTTTAGTATTTTTTAAATTATAATTATAATATTATAAATTTAGAAAATTATATATATATATATATATATATATATATATAATAGTAACACCTTACTATTTTAATTTAAGCTTGGTATTTGATCTAACAAGATGTTGTTAAGAAGCACATTAACAAGATTTGTAGATAGATTCTATATGCATTTACAAATATCGTTTATATATATATATTTGTATGTATAAAAATAAAAAAACCTAAAATTTTTTAAAACTAAAAAATTCTTTTACTTTATTAAAAAAATAACTTTTCTGATTTCTAATTATTAAAATTTAATTCAAAACTATATTTTTATAATAAAAGATATATCTTCAAAAACCTGTTAAATTAATAAATTATAAACATTTGATATTGTTATCAATAAAATTTACATATAACATCTTCTATATAGAATTAATTATGCAATGTTTTTATAATAAATTGATATTTATCATTATTGTAAAATTTACGAATATTTTAAGTTTAGAATAATAGTGGTAAAAAATTATATGATCCTTATATTTACTCAGGAGTCTTATGTCAATGACGTTTTCTAAATCTACGTAAGAAACATTAAATATATGTATATCTATATATATATATATATATATATATATGTAAATAAAAAGATTTCTAATCAGTTAGAATATTTTTATTAAAATATTTATTTATTTATTTATTTACTTATAAAGAATCTGATTATTATTTTTATTATATTTTTATAATATTATTAAAGTTCAATAAAGAAAATCATGAAGTATTCAAGTTTTTTGGCCATATATAAATGAAAAACTTAAAAGAAATTAATGAAATCAAGAAATTGAATTTTAAATAATAATCAATTAAAATCTAGACCAAATTGCAACTTTTCTAAAATAAATTGGAAATCTTTGAAGAATGTTCTAATACAAATTACTTAGAAAAAGTTCTTATCTACTTAGCAAAATATAATAAATAAATAAATATGCATGGACCATCAGTTGTAGGTCTAGATTATTGCAGATTTTAAATTTGGCCAATTATATTTTTGTCTTTTGTCTTTGATACTTTGGCTTTTTTTATTATTATTTAACTTAATATAAAATATATATTGAATTAATTTATTTTAAAAAACGAATTATAATCTATTATATATTATATTATAAAAATAAATATACAAATAGAATAACATATTTTAAAATAAAATCTAATAAAAAGTTTTAGTTCTTGAAATTAATCTCTTTATTTTTTTATAAGATTAAAATTATAATATGAAGGTTACAATCTTCCTTAAAATTCAATAATAATGCAAAAATTTGGAATAAATATTATTAAAATTATTCACCTAATAATATATAAATTTTATTTTATATTATCTTATTGATTATTCTAAGTTTGTCAATATATTTCTTAGGATAATCTAAATAGATCATTCAACTTAATTTGAGGATGAAAATATAAAAACTAGATCAAAACGCAGAATCTATTCTTATGTTGCATATTTTTGTAAAATATTTATAAAACTTTAAAATTTGTAATATTTGCCAATTTTAAGATTTTTATTTTTATTCAAAAATATCAAAAAATATTTTTTATGGCCAATTTTTTATTTAAGATGAGAATGTTAGAAAGAATATTATATACATTTCAAGTTGTAAATGAAATGAACTTG